AAAAACTAAAATAAAAAATCTTTTTATCAAATAGTTTAGATTTTTCTACGTGACGTGATAAAAATATCAGACGTAAGGCTATCATTTAGGCATATTCGACAGCCATAATAAGATAGGCAAATTGGACAAAAAGGTTTTGAAAAAAAAAGAAAAAAAAACTAGAAAAACAAACAGTTTTTTTTGAAGTTTTTGATTTAAAAATGGAGCTAAATAACTCCTAAAACTATTTTTAATTGCTTAAAACTAAGTTTTAAGAGGGCTTAAAATTAAGTTTTAAGAGCCTTAAGACAAAAAAAGGTAAAAAATCAAAAATTTCAAACAAATTTTTCTCGACACTTGAAAAAATTTTGGGAACTTTTTAATGTGGTTCGAAACGGCTTCAATATGATATATCACTCAACCCTGTCCAATGAATATATGTGGAACCTGTTTTTGCGTGGAAAACAAAAAGAAAAAACTAAAACAGACCCGAATGCAAATTTCCTCCCAATTTTCAATGGTCGGAACAATAATATAAAAATATTACAAAAAATATATTAATAACTAATTTTATACTTCAACGGCAACCTTCCCTAAGTGAGACTCTTGCAGACTTAAGTAAAGATTAGCATAGATTATTTTACGAGATCAAATAACATATAGAAATAATATAACTTTCTATCTTTAAGATACGCACCCAAGTCAACTTGGATTATATTACTTAATCATTTTTTAAATTAAAAATTGCAATCCACCTGCGCTCCATCCAGTCCACGTTTTAGAGAGTAACTTTTCTAGTTTCTTTCTTTTTTTTTACAATTCAGAACGAATGTGGCACATTTCGCCCCTCCCACATTTTGCCCCACAATTATAACGGTACTTTGCGTGTACGATTTTAGGGGTTAAATGTGTGAGGGGCGAAATGTACCACTAAATTTAAGAGAGGAGAAATGCGTGAAGACATCTAAGCTACACACTCTTACCTTCCCTGCCCCGCTGATATCAGACAGGTTTGTGCTGGCTGCCCTGGATATCTTGGGTCTGACCAGCTGGATGTCTGCTGTCCTGCTCTTCTTGTGTCTCTTCAGAGTGTGGGAGAAAATCTGAGACAGGGTAGTCTCGCTCCCCGCAGAGGGCTTGATGGATTCTGAAAATTAAAAAAAGAGGTTTTTGTTAAATAATATTGAAGACACCGTTGAGTTTGGCCTTATTTTTTCTTTTTTCTTTGCTAAACAAGGAGTGTATTAAGCTGGGAAAATGCGTTTCATCGACTCGGAAAAAAGGTATCATTTAAACTTTTGAAAATTTATTCTTTCATCGATGCATGATTTACGCAGAAATTCTTATTATGTTTGATCAACGCCCTTTTGACAGGACTAATTATCTCAAAAGTTTCACATTTTCTTCCAAATTTTCTCCGTAATTAGTGCTGAAAACATTTTTTGAAAACAAATTCAGAATGATTTCAAGAAAATTGGGATCGCAAAAACCATTTAGAGGCTCAATCTTTTTATCACAAAGTTTTTGACAAAATAAATGAAAGATAAAAAAACGAGCATAGCAGGTCTCAATGTAACCTAACCCCCCATGCAATTCCACCAATGTACATCCCCCTTGTACTCCCCCATGTAATACCCCCCTTATACTTACTTAATACATTGACTTGCGCGGAGCATGATGTGGCGCAGTGGGGGGACTGTGCCTTGCACTTGTACTGTCCACTGTCACTCAACACACACTCGCTGATACTCATCCGGTGCTCCCCTGTCTGGAAGTTACTCTCAAAAGCCAGTCTGGGGTCTCGCTCATTACGCCAACACAGATCACCCACTGGAAAGTAAATAAAGAGAGATTTGAAACTTTTTACTCTGATAAAAATTATATGAATGAAACAAAATCACAGTCGCCTAGTAGAAAACTATATACTGAAAAACTGAATTTTTGAAAAAATTCAATTTTTTCAAAAAAAGGTACTCTGCTTTTCTGATGAAAGAAAAAAACTACTGAAGGTGACCTTATCTAAGCTAGTCATAGCTTGGTTAAATCTAAATAATTAACCTTCAGATTAGAACTCTGGCTGCTAGCTAAAAAAAGAAACTTGACCCAAATACCCAAATAGAGAAGTGCAAATTAATTTCCCCCACCGGAAGAGGTTCTCGAGAGTAGATCCTCGCCCTTGAGCCAGGAGACTGAAGTGACTGTCCTGTCCACCACCACTACATCTAACTCCAGCAGTCCACCCTCATTCACCTCCTGGTCCTTGATCACCTTCAGAAACTGCGCAGTGGCTGCAAATAAAGATAAATCATAAAATGTCAATAGTCAAGTTTTCCATAGAATTGATAATGAGTTTTTCCGTATTTTTCTCCAGCGGAGCAATTTCGGTAAATTTTAAATTTACGAAGCTCTGAACTATATCTTAACCCACGAACAACTATAATTAACTGAAGTCTGTTTATTTGCATGCACAGATGGGTGTATTTCTGAGCAAGATTTGTAACAGTAGCAGTTTTAGGGGGGACGCCCCTTCCCCCAGGGATTGGACCCCCTGCCGACCGAAATCTACCCCCATTTGTACTATTTTAAGATTTGTATTTTTGCCTGATTGACCCTCTGGCGCCTCTGGAAAAACGTGACTTTTTAATCACCATTCCCCAAAAGTGCCTAAAAGCGCTTTTGGCCTGCTTTATCCAAAATAAGGGGGTCTTTATAGATAATGTTCTGCGAGCGCTCGGAAAATCAGTTTTGTGGACCTACAAAAAGGACAAAATTTTTGAAAATCCGATGTCCGCCCCTGATTTGAAAGATAGATTTAGACCACAAGATGACTAACTACTATCGTCGACTATCTGCTGTCGTTTGGTCAGACAGTCCCTCTTAATCTGGGCACACTCCCCCACCTTCCCCCCTGACACTGCCTTCACCCACACTAACAAATCTGCCCCTCCCACTGCACCTGGGATACTCTTGGTTGATCCAGAAGCACTGACAGGGGAGGTTGGAGACGTAGGAGAGGTGGGAATTGGAGGTTCACTTCTTCTAGAATTATCTTGGTCTCCTACAAATAAAACCATTTTTTTTTTCAATGGGCAAAAAATTAATGAAGAAGGATAAAAAACAGCCAATTTATTGCTCACACCATTAATGATTATTCGAAATCTCATGTAAAATCATAAAAAGTTTTCTTAAATTATAGCTAAAAAACGAATGAAATCAAACGCAAAAATCAGGCCATTTCAAGACTCGATTCTTGGTAAAATTCATACTTTTTAATTTTGCAATAAATATAGTTTACAGAAAAAAAAAACAAATTCTCAGTTTGCAACATGGAGAGCCGGTTATTGTCCAAGAAGAAAAAAAACAGGTAGTGAATGATGTGATGAAATAAATAAACGAACGCGTAGATTTTTTGTGACCTCGGTAGAATCTACAACAGCTCTATCCAAAAATATTTCACAAACAAAAATGCAAACAAATTTTCAGAGGAAAAGTCTTCAACTATTTCGAATTTTTTCTATAGATTAAGTTTTTTGTTCTTAACACGAGTTTCATTGCCAAGGACGCGCTAAACAAAGCTTTTAAAACTGGTTTGTTTTATTGGAATAAACTCTCAAGAAATTGCTCACTACTTAAATGAAAGTTTTTTAGTCTAATTTTGAGCATGTAGCTCCTTAAAAGGCCCAGTAGATCGCTTTACTAATTTGAAAATTGACTAAAACTAAATTTTTCAATCACGACTGAAAAATGCATAGAATGTTTGTGACATGGTTTTGAGTAGAAAACATAAAAAACACACTCGTGACAGAATTCCGCTCCATTCTCAATGGACGGAACATAAGAGTTCAAAATAAATTTGAAAGAGTTTGATAATGAGCGAAAAAATTGTAGTATTTATGGGTTATATAATTGGCAACTACACTAACATAGCCAACTGAAAGGAAACTGAAAAACAAACAGTTTTTTTTATGATGAACAGTTTTTTTTTAACAAAAATTAGCCCAATTTGAGAAAACTGGATCAACAGGTGAAACTTTTATTTCGCTGGGAAATGTGATAATTGATTTCCATTTTCGAAATTAGAAGTCGATCACGTTTTTTGTGACCTTTACGCATTTGCTGTTCAATAGTGGAGTTTGCCCTCCTCTTAAAAATGGAAATGCAGTGAAATTTAAAAAAAAATCACAAGCCAAACGCGAAAAATCAAATTTGAGCGTGAGCAAACATTTAGACTTTTTCCTGAAAAAAAAACAAAAAAATCAGCAAGATCTATAAAAGAGTTTTCACTAAGTTCATTACATTTAAAAAAGATATCGTTTCTCCGAGTATCTTTCCGTCTTGAATGAAATCGTTTTTCAACTGTTGAGTGTTTTTTAATCTTTCTCAACCAAAAAAGCACGCAAGAGAAATCTGATATGTGGCGACTATCTCAACCAAATTTGGGTATATTTCCATTTTTGTGACATAGAAAGAATGAGCTCGCTTTTGTTAGACCCAAGCCAAAAATGTTTCGAATGATTTCGCTGAATTTTACTTTTCTCGAACAAAAAAAAACTTTCCTCGAACCAAGCCACGTAGATTTTGACCGCATCAAAGAAGTCGGGTATGTTTCGGCTTCTTGGGCGAAAACAGTAACGGTAACTTTTGATCCAGATGAATTTATTGCAGCCATCCGTCACTCAATGCGTGATTAAAAAAATACATTTAGTTGAATTTTTACTGTCTCCCGTTTTTCCGCTGGCATCAAAAACGATGAAATTGAGGTTTGTATTTTAAAGAATGCTCATAAAAATGCTTTGTTTTATTGCAAAATGCCTTAGGTCTCAAAAACTCAGAACAAACTTTTATTTGTATCTTAAAAACTCACCATACATAACTTTTTTTACTGCGTTGTAGCCCGAAGTTTCATTTTTGATTCAAAAACTGCAAAATTAAAAGTTCAAAACAGATTGATGGTGCTGGACGAAAAATGGGAAAGGTTTCAAACATGTTTTAGCTTTTTTATTGAACTTGACCAAATCAGGGCATGTTTCGTGAGTGCTCGACCAGAAGTCGAAACATGATTTTGGTATAACTCAACGCGGGTCTCGAATGCTTTCAATGAAGCTATATGCAAATGTTAGATATACAGCACCTGTTCTTTTTCTGGCCGTAGATGGTGAAAATAAGCCTTGCAAACTGGGGGGTTCGGAGGAGGGGACATCTATGATTTGGACATTGTCGCCTGCCTGGAACCCTGGACCACATGGGTATACAATGCCAAAAATGGAACCAGTTACTGTATCGTCCACCTAGAAAGGTCATTTAGTTTTCAAAGTTATTAATTAATTTTGAAAACTAATTAACAGTTTTATTTTGAGTTAATGAGTTACTTTGGTACATCTGATACGATAAAAGTATGGCCATTTTTTAAACTGAGCGATCATTGAAAAGTCATTATTCCAAATTTAATTTATTTATCAATGATTTATTTTAAATTAATGTGAAATCACACAAATTGTCATTACATTGATTAGTTTATAAGATTTGTGGACATTACCGTTTTGTCCGTTTCCCTAAAAATATTAAGCGTTTAGCTTGACACAACATACTTTGGAAAGAATTTTTGAAAAATGGTATCAAAGTTTGATGTAAGCTTTTGCTGTACAATTGTATCTCTGAAATCCATATAGATGTCCCGTATTGTCAGATAGAGAAGAGACGGTTGGGTTAATTTGGTATTATAGACGGAAAATTTGTATATATTTAACCGTTGAATTACTCTTTTATAGGGTAGATCCAAAGCTTGAAACTCCTTCAATTACAAAATTGTTAAAAAATTGTGTCAAAAACTGAATAATTAAAACTGAAAACTTTGCTTTCAGTTAACAGTAATCAATATATAACTCACTTGGCAGATTCTCCCAGTTTGCGGTAGAGACTGTCGAATCCTGATGCCACGTGACTAGGCAATGGTTCACTCATCCTCGTCCTCCTTTTGGCCTTGGAACGCATGTCTGAAACAAATTTTGTCTCCATTTATGTCGAGACGGATTTATAAAAAAAATTGACTGACAGTTAACTTATTTTTGATAATTTTTGACAGTAGCAGATTCAGGGCGGGCGGGGTCCCCCTTTGTACTATTTTGAGATATCCATTTTTGGCTGACTGACCCTAAATTTTCTAAAAGCGCCAATGTATACCAATTTGGAGGGGGGAGCGCGCGCCGAAAAAACGCGCTTTTTTGGTCAATATTTTCCAATAAGTGCCTAAAAACGCCTTTCTTGGCCTGTTTTAAAAAAAAGGTCGACAAAATTTTCAATTTTTTTTTGAAAATCCGCCCCCTTGAGAAAATCCTAGATCCACGCCTGGTTTTTGAGAATAGCAAGCGTCGCTATTTAATACTCAAGTCAAACAAAAATCAATTAGCAAAGTCAGGGGCGGATCTAGGATTTTCTCGAGGGGGGGGGGGGCGGATTTTCAAAAAATTTTCCAAAATTTTGACGACCTTTTTTTTTTTTTAGGTCGACCAAATTGATTTTTCGAGCTCTCCCAAAGCACTGTTTTGCCCCTATTTTGGCAAACTTTTCTGCGCCGCAGTCAAATTTTTGAAAAAACAGTCAAAAAAGCCGTTTTTGGGCACTTTTTGAAAAATTTTGACAAAAAAATAGCGTTTTTTTTTGGCGCGCGCTCCCCCTCAAAGTTGGTATATATTGGCGCCAAAGGCGCCTTTAGAAAAATTTTAGGGTCGGTCGGCCAAAAATGGATTTCTGAAAAAGTATCAAAGGGGGGACCCTTTGGGTCGGCAGGGGGTCGAATCCCTGAGGAGGGGGCGTCCGCCCCCCCCCCCCGCCCCCCCCCCTAAATCCGCCCCTGAGCAAAGTTCTATTGTAACACGAAATTTTGTTACTTGTAATGAGCTGAGGTTTCTTACCTTGGATTTCTTCGTTGTCTTTGGCTTGTAGAGTCAAAATCTCTTTGACCCATGCTTCCTTCTTGTAGAAAGATTTAGCCTAAACATTGTGATATAAAACTATTATTCATAAAAATCATATAAACATCTTGCGATAGATCAGAAACAATTTAAAGTTTCATCAATTGAATTTTTGGCTATCAGTTTTTACTTCAAGTTTACCTGTATGATAGAGAAGTTTGTAGTGACTTCGCGTCTTCCCATGTACAACTCAAATCTCCGCTTGTCATCTTTGTCCTTGAAGTTAATACCCACTCCCGCTACCTAATTTGAAAAAAATATGAATCACTAAGGAATTGGAAAAAGTAGTATTCAAAGGGAAATGTGTTTCGTGATTCTGGAAAAATAAAAGTTTTAAAATATTAAAATTACAAGAACTTTATACGTAAAGGACAAAAATTTTTTCTCAAAGATAACAATTAAATGTTAGCCCGTAACAAAATTGTTTTTTTTTGAAAGAGTGATTAAATAAAAACAAATGAACTAAAAAAAAACTAATTGCTCAAGCGCTTGACTCTTGTACCTGCATGTGTTTCTTGTAGCAGTACACCGGCGACGCAGCCGGACTGCCCCCACTACTACCCCCTCCACTTCCCCCTCCCCCTCCCCCTCCTCCCCCATGATGGTGACTCTTGCCGTCCATCTTCTTCTTAGTGAACAGTATCATGTGTCGGAATAGGAAGAGGGTCCGCTCTTTGCCCTGGGTGCGGGGTTTCGACTCCCACACTGTGACGTCATCGATCATGATCAGGGCACCCACTTTGTCAAGTCCAAACTGTAAATAAACAAATTGTTTGTTTTTTATAAGAGAATAATTGTTTGTATGCAATATCCGCAATTTTTCTGCGACCAAATATCGTATTAGCCGCTTTTCCGTAAGAGTTTTTTTAAATCGTGGCAGCCAATTTGGACTAGAAATTCTCGAACAGCTATGAAATCTCACAATCCATACACCATTGCATGCTCTTAGATTCACGAACCTTTTAATTTTGAGCATCTATTGTTTTTTATTATATTAACCTATACTTTAATTGAATTGGATGAAACTGCGAGCAACAGTATCAATCAAGAACATTACATCAATTTTCATGCGATTTTTCTCGAAAAATGTGCTCAATTCTGAATCAAGGAATGATAATCACTATTTTTTGTAACTCACAGGACACTCAACAATGCTGTCAATCTGCATGAGATTGTTCGCCTTAGCCGGCAGTTCAATCATCACAGCCAGAGCCCTCTCTATAGCTCCAGTGTCTCTCTTCAGCTTAGAGGCATACTTCAGAATCTCCTTCAGAACTAAGTGGTACTTGGTTATTCTCTGCACTGGTTTGATTAGATAAGTTCCAAGGTCTAGTTTCACTCCTAGGCGACGTAAGTTGTCCTGAAAAAAATGTTGGCTCAATTGACGGGTATCTAAGCTTATGTCGAATTCATTTCGGCTGGGATTCCATGAATGCCCATAAAGTGTCCCTGCTTGGTATTACCAGGCAACAATTTTGGTTTTCGAGACGTTTTTTTAAACAAAAATTTAATTAGAAGACAAAGACTTGGGAAAAAAACTTGGGAAATATTCGTCTGATCTCTAAGAAAGCTAAGAAAACAATCTAAATTTTCCACAAAAAGCATGATTTTTTAGGTTTTTCAGAAAACTCGAAATAAACAATGGTAATGAAAAACGTTTTTCTGTTATGTCGAATAATTTCACTAACGTCGAAGTAGTTTTTGACGACAGTGGTGGATAGGAACTTGTGTGCACTCTCTTTATGCTGGCAGTATTCCACATACATCTCAAACGAGTCTTGCTGAAAAGGAAAAACCGAATTCATTTACTGATTTTAGAAATAAAATATAAGTTATAGAGATGAGAACTGATGATATTATGAGCTACTAACCCAGTTGAGGAAACAGTTGCCGACCTCCTCGGGTTGCATGTTTTTGTACTTCCTTAAATCTGGTAGGAACATTCTAGAAGCAATATTACAAATTATTATAAAATTCTTTTAAATTTTTCCACAAAACTTGCCCAATCGAGTTTGACTATAATAAATTTTTTGATACCGATCATTTGACAAATATGATTTTCCACTTTTTTCTACGCTCGCCAGTGTAACTTAAATTCTTCTCATGTTCTTAAATTGTCTACTTTAAGGTTTTACATTTCCTCAGTTTAGTTCCCAAAATTATGTTATAACCTTTCCTAGCAGGAAAAAAGTTTCCGTTGAACTATTGAATATAGATCTATGGCTCTCACGTGCTGTTGAACTCGTATATCTTATCCACATTAAGGAACAGTCTCTGCTGTGCCCCCTTGTCTCTCAACACAGAGGGGGCGGAGGGGGACTTGATGGCAGGCATAAATTTGTCCACTATCGTCTTCAGATCACTCACATACGCCTCCTCAGTCGTGAACAGTTCGTGCATGGCCATCCTGGGAGAGAGGAAAAAATGAGTTGACTGCTTAAAAACGTATGGTAACTTTTATGCAGACATCTCAAGGCAGTGATTATCAAAACGTAATCATTCTTTGAAAAGTTCAAGAAACAAAAGCAAAAAACTTTAAGTATTTTGAGACTCACTGACAAAAACAAACGCGATTGACATTTTTGACATTAGTTAGTCAGAATAAAACGAAATCAATACTACTAGACGCAAAAATAAACAACCTTGAGTCGCAAACAACTGCTCTGCTGGACAAAATTATCTCATAACAAGGATAGCCGGTTACTGTGCATGTAGCACAGAATGTTCCGACCATAGTCTTAAAAAGGACACTTCCTTTTTTTCAAATTAATGCTGTTTTTTTTTCTGCGTGGTGTGATAAATGAACCTGAACAAAAAAACTACAAGCTAACAAACTAGGTTTATTCGACAGTCACAGTAAAAAGCGCAAACTGGACAACAGTTGTTGAAGAAAAATGACTAGACAAAGAAAAAAATCATAAAACAAATCAAAAAAGTTATTTTTTCATTTTTTACGCTGAAATGTTTTTGATCATTTCTGAGTTTTTGATTCTCAAAATGGCGTTAGTAAAACTCCAGAAACTAGTTATAATCGATTAAAACTAAAATTAAGCATAAATAGGCTATTGTAAGCGGCTTAAATTAAGCGGTGGAGGTGAGCGGAATTTCAAAACAAATTAGAAAATTTATTAACCTTTTTTTTAGGTTGACTAATTTTTTTTTCCGAGTTAGCTCTCCCAAAGCACTGAAAAAACCTTGTTTTGGCCAATTTTTCTGCGCCGCAGGCAAAATTTAAAAAAAAACAGGCCAAAAAGGAATTTTTAGGCACTTTTTGGTAAATTTTGACCTAAAATCCAGTTTTTTTTTCCGGCGCCCGCTTCCCCCTCAAAGTTAGTAAATATTGGCGCCGTAGAACAATAAAACAATTTTTGTTTTATTTTTTTTTTAGATTTTTTTTATTGGCGCCTTAAGACAATTTATACGGTTCGTAAGCTAGAAATAGTTATCTCAAAATAGTACAAAGGGTGTCGAATCCCAGAAAAAAGCGTCCCCCTAAATCCGCTACAGCATCCACCATCTACTTTTGTTACCTCAGTTTGTTCTCGGCTGTCTCGTCGTTGTTCTGCATACTGGCTGACGGTGATGATGATGATGCGGTGGATGTGATGAGTAGATTGTGTGCACTGGTGGCCACTCTGCCTCTGGCCAACTGGCTCCCACTGCTTCCATGCACACCACCTACTCCAATCTGAGACACCTAAAACAAGGAGGTCGAACTTAAAACAGCTTTTACTGGAATTCGTTTCTAAGGCCCAGACGCGCTTGGCGCTGGATACCACAATAACACTTGATTTGACTGAATGTTGTGTTGTGTAGGCATCATTTGCAACTGGACTTAGTAGCTGAAAAAATGTGTAGATAAATGTGTCCAAGGATTTCAGAAGCGATAGTGAGCTTATGAATGTAATAAAACAAACCTCAGATCAAAAAAGAAGTTCGTTTAATAAAAAAAATACTAAAAATTAAAAAAAGAAAGGCAGCAGTCTATTATTCTTTGATAGGTTGCGACAATAAAGATGGATCCACTATATTTCACACAAAGTTGTTAGTTCAATTTTTTTAAATAGTTTTGGACTCAAACCTGTTTTTTGAGAGTGTTGTGAGCAGCTTCTGAACTTTCTGAGTCAAAGTTCCAGGAACCAGGCCTCTTCAGCTCAATAGTGTCCAGCACTTTTTCCAGAAAACTCGAAGGAACCCAGCCCTAAAGACGCAAAACAAGTTTCAGTAACCGTTTCAATACTAACTATCAGATATTCCTGGTTGTTATGCTCACTCCTTTGAAATGAACACAAAGTTTCTCAAGTCATAGATCAAAATCATCTGAAGTAATCTCAATTATTGTGTTTTTTTTTCTGTAGTAGTTTCAAATATCTCCAAATTTTTCATGCTTATGCTGTAGGTTATATCGCTAATTTTCATTATATCAGAAATTGAAGAAAAAAAATGGAAATATGAAATTTAAAATAGCGATAAAATACGACTCACAATTCTGACAGGACTGTTTTTGGACGCCTTAGTCCTCACCATCCACTTATTAGCATTAGAATTGTCCAGCACTTCCACAAACTGACCCTCGCTCAGCCAGATACTGTCATCGGGGGAGGGGGCTCCACTGCTGCTACCTGTAGTCCCTCCCCCTGCCTGGCCAGATGAAGATGCCGGTTGGTAGTTGGCAATCGACCGGTACAGCTCGAAGAACTGAAATTAATCCAGTAGATTTGCTTTTTTATGCCTATGAAACTAATTTTATAAAAGTTTGCAAGTTGTTAACTTACATTTTCATCATTAGGTTTTTCGAGGGGGATCGGAATATCTAACATAAATTCAAAATTTCCGCGCTCGCCATTAACACTATCAAGATCCCATTTTGTTAGCAATTTTTGAAAAACCCTGTCGCAATATTTTGGCGCGCTTACCACTCAAAGTTACAATTGATTGGGTTTTTTTTTATTTTTGTGCTTCCAAACTTCTATAAACATTTTATGATTGTCACGAAAAACTAACGCAAATCTAGAAACTTCGTTAACAGGGCAAGTAATTTATCAGTAATCGTGGTTCCAAAAAATTCTTTTTGAAACAAGAAGTCAGGTGTAATTTATTTAAATATAACGGAACGTTTAATCTGCGTTCTAATAGCAATTGACTCTGATGTAAACTTAAAAAACCAAAGAGTCTAGCCGTAAAAACTGTAATTTTAGCTTCTTAAAACTTTCTTGAAAAAAAGAAAAAAACTATCCGATATATAATAAAAAATATATCACCAGTTTGATATGATAAACAAGGATAGACGGTTGCTCCGTTGATTCTCACTTAATTTTAAAAACTACAAAATACAAAAATCTTTTTTCTTAAACCATTTATTGGTCAAAAATTCCTGTTAATTGTCCTAGTCAATGACCTAAATGAAAAATATTAAGACGAGTAGTCATAATATGTAAAAAACGTACAACTGAAAAACAACTTAATGATTTGGAGAGCAGCCTTTTTTCAAACTGAATAGTCTAATTGACTCTGAAAACAGAAGCTATGCAGACAAATTTTCCTCAACTTTAGGAGAATTTTTTAATTGTTTTTCAGAATCCTAATAACGACCAGAAGGCCTCCAAAATGCGTTAGCACTTGACCTACTCAGATCAGTTTTTCTCGAAACTGAGAGAACTTTTCGATTAAAATTTTTGGAATCCGATTGGAATCACGAACAATAGTGCTTTAATATGGTACTAAAGTTGACCACGTACGAGCTTGCTTTGAGGAAGTCTAATTGGGAAGAAAATAACACACTCTTCATTTTGTTTATTCCTACCCTTTTAGAGGATGAACTCCACTATACGATTCGTATGGCGGCGGGGGTAGCATTAGGAGGTTGAAACATTGAGGATGACGTCAGATAAAAAAAATAATGGAAAAAAGAATTAAATATTTACCTCTCCTGAAGTTCTGTCATCCGTCTCGCTGCTCGCTGAGTCATTTTGATTCGCCTTTCTCTTCCTTATATGGTTCGGATACTCTTTCTCATCCCTACCAGATGAGCCCCCTCCTCCACTTGCTCCTCCCCCCTCCCCAATCTCCGACATCTGCACATCGGGTACAGACACTGAAGAGTTTTCAGCCGAGTCCCCCCTTTGTTGTTGGCTCTTGGGGGAGAGTTGGAAGTAGGATGAGTCTTGAACATTCGAGGGGGAGGTGTTGTTTTTGTTGAGGTCTTCCACACTTTTCAGGATGTAGGCAGGTACACAACCCAGCTGAAAAAAAAATAAAAAAAATGAAGACATACGTTAGAAAAGTGGCAAAAGGCATTCGTTTTTCAGATAATCAGAACGAGTATTTGATCCCCTGCCATAAGAAAGATAAGGTTGAAGTTTTATGTATCTCATTTGATCTGTAGCTTCATGTCTACCGCAGCTTGACCGAGTTTAGCCTCAAAAATAACACAATGATCAAAAATTTACACGAAAACAAAAAAAAACAAGATGTCACCAAAAAAATTCAGTCTAGAATGCGAAGAGTTAATACCAAACCAAAAATCCGAAGACGGAGTCAACAGCATGTTGATTGATTCTATGTGGTATGGAGAAAAACAGTTCTTACTAAGAAAAACGACAGAAAAATTGTGTTCGGTTTTGTCAAAAAAGTCCAGTAAAGTCAAACAAAGTCAAAAACGGACATCGCTTGACTAAAAAAGTCAAAAAAGGACAAAAAACGCGGGAGCAATTTCGTTCTGTTAACGCGTAAGCGACGACATAAGCCAACTTAGAAAATGTTCCTACCTGATCTGAGGCCTGCTGTATACGATTAATCAAAACAATACTATATGCTAATTTGTACCTATTTTTTTCACTTTTTGTATATTAAGTCATTGAAAAAAAAAAGTCGGAGCATTCAAGGCGTCGCCCTGATGCGGGCGGTCTTCGTACGTTATAGACGCAAAATTCAAAACTTTGTCCCCAGCGATTATTTGCTGCAAATTCTAAAATATTTGCTGCTGATTTGTGCTGCATTGACTTGTTTTTGACAAACTTAAAAGAACTGGACCACTAGAACGTAGTTTTTTTTGTGCTGGAAATTCTATAAAGCAATATTTACACTTGAATTAGAAGTAAAGCGCTAATTTTGGCGCTGATTTATAACGCGACTTGTCTTTTTCCTCTTAGCGAGCTAATTAGGATTTGAACTTACGAAAACATAAAGCTGAAACGAAAACTTTTTTACTTTTTTTTCGGAAAAAATCATACCGCCTAAACACAAAACTCAGTGTGCTCAAAAACATTCAATCAGTTGGTTTCTGTAGAATTGCTGATACAAAAAATCGGGACCCGTCAGACCCTTGGGGGCAAGTGATAACGGTCCCCGGAAGTGTAAATGGCCCTGTCAGATCTCAGAAACTAGCGGCGGTATTGGGCTCAAATTCTAGTATGTTGAAGGCCTAGTTAAGGAAAGCTTAAGTTTGGAACCCCAGACCCCTAAGACCCCCACTTCCTGTTTTATGCCCTAAGTAAACAAACCCACTCCTAACTTCCGGAAGTCGTTTCTCGGCCACCGATGAGCGCAGGTAGCTGAGACTTGGAGGGATGATAGGTAGTGGCAAGATACATCTTGTACTATAATTTGAACCAAATCCGGCGGTTGGGCCGGAAGCTATTAGCACTTGAAAAAACACCCCCTAGACCGGAAATAGGCAATTTACGCGAAATGATGAAAGTTGACATAATGATTTTATTGCGGCAACGGACATAAAATACGAACCCCGAAACAAGACCCCTCGTGAGTGAAAAACCTCCGGCGACTCCTTCCGGTGTTAATAGCCTTTTTCCAGAAAAAAAGGATAGTGGACCTTAGAAATGGGATAAGTTGTGAAGTATTAATGGTATATGAATGAAACTTGGTAGTTAGGACCCCCATAGGATTCTAAACCCAAATTTGGAAGTTTGACCTCAGTTGACCCCTGGGTGATCTTTAGTTGACCTTTGGGCGTTTGACCCCAAAATTGTAGGAAAACCCAGAGATTAACACCGAAAAGTGGCGTATTCCACAGCCTAACCCCTGGAAATGAGAATGGGTCACCTTGCTAAAAGTTGGGGTGAAAATTTATATTCTGGGAACTGGAGCAGAAGCTGATGGAGATATATCTCTTACATTGCAACCTTGGAGTAGTGGATTTAATTCAAAGTGGACTTGGTAAACGTTGGGTTCAGTTTAGCTTGGCGAGTGATCTAATAATAGCATTTCAACTAGACTAAAGAAAAGTAGTCCCAGAGGAAATTGATAATAATAGAACCGTAGCACGAGAATTAGGTCTCCTAAATAGTATGTACAGACGTGGAATTTACTTGGCTTCCCGAAGGTGACTTTTTGGTTTAATTTGACACCTAATAGACGAACTACCTTCCCCTAATAGCTAGAAGGGCGGGATTGGAATATAGTAAAGATCGAAACTTTAGATGCTTGGAATGATTTAGCTACACATGAGAAGCGCCTCCCCCTACCCTTGGGAGATCGGAACAACGTTAACGGGATAATTGAAATAAAGACCTTGGGAGGATTACTGGGTAAACAAAGCATGGTTTAGAGGTTAGTTGAACTCGGGGGCTGAAGTCACTGAGTTCAGGAATTGGTTGATTAGAATCGTATGATTTTTGTTTGCTTGGTCAAATTGTGACAGCTACCGCATACCGGGTATTTAGTAAGTGTGAAAAGATTGATAAAAGAAACCAAAGTTGGCACGTGGCAGGAGTGACAAGGGGAAGGATATAGCCTTAAAACATGTGCGGATGGGTGATTTAAGCGGATGTCAGGACTGATAGGGAATGGCGTGACTTAACTAAAACTAAGTGTCAAGAAAGATAAGGAATCGGAGGGTACCGGAGAGCCTTTAAGAGTCAGAACAGTGTTAGCTACCATTAAGAGTAGCTAGTTCTCGTCAGAGAAGAGAACAGTTGTTAACTACTATTGAGAGTAGTTGGTTCCCAGTCAGAGAAGAGAGCAATTGATACTGAGAGAGAGTATAGTTGGTTCTCCGTTAGTTAGAGAGAACAATTATTGCTCTTTTAGTCAGATAATTGGTTCTCGGAGTAAGAGACCAGTAGATAGTTAGTTCTCATCAGAGATTCTCTGGAGAGAGAGAGAGAGAGAGAGAGAATAGTTAGTGTTAGTGGAGTTAGTTGGAAGTTCACTGCAATTAGGCACTTTGACCGATAAATCGCGGACCCTTTCCTTTTGACTTGATTATTAGATTATATCCTGGCCACTCAGAGCCTCCTGTAATTGGACATATAATCATCTAAATTAACTTATCATTGGAAATTCTTGCGATTGTATTGATTAGACGAGACAAGACAGCCAAAGAGCAAATCACAGAGGGGCAAGCAACATAATACAATACAGAATAGTTGCCACCAAAATAACCCTTTCGGGATTGTAGATAGCAGTGAATCTCGGTCGCCCCACTGAATTCACTGCCCATGGGACGAATTTGCGGTGTCGTTAGGAAAGAGAGAACGAACCTAGAGAAGAAATCCCCTAGATCTACAGTTTCAATGATTTAGTTTTGAAAAACTAGAGCACGGTAACATTTTAACTCTGTTAAACAGGATCATAAATGTGAAGCTTTTTTAAAGAATAAAATAATCACTAGACATAGACGAACATTGACAAGCTAACAGGAAATACTTAAAGGAACAGAGTATTGTACGCAGTTTCAAAACGTTTCAAGTTATCAAAATATGTATTTTTCAGCGAACTCGATCTCCACGTTAAAAAACTGTCAATAAAACTTTTTGATTTTGGAACAGGGTCGAAAAGACAAAGTGGGTCCTTTGGGTCGACAGGGGTCGAGCCCTGAAGAAGAGGGCATCCGCCTCCCTGAGCCGCTTCTGATTTTAGATAAATGACGATCTCAAGAAACCAATAAATTGCGTTTAAAAAATGTTGTCATTAATTTTTACCAATTCATTTGAACCTGCGTTTTTATTTACTGCACGGGCGTGAATAAACTAATTGTCTTTGTTTGATTAACAAGTTTATTCAATCAATAGAAGCCTCCCCACCTCTACCATGATAGAAGTTGAAATAGACCACCATCGAAAGAGTAAACGCGCCCCCGGTAAACAACCATCCGACCCAGGGCACAATAAGCGACCATCCAACATTGGTCTCAGTACCTTCACTGTTGGCAGACATCAAGAGGATATTAGCCAGCACAAGGCAACACCAGTTTATACAGGATAGAACCTATGATGTGAACTTATCAGAAAGCGACCCAAAAAGCGAACTTATCAAAAGTTTTGTGCCTCAGCAATGTACATATTCTGGGGCGGTTCTGAGATTTTCTCAGAGGGGATATTTACAAAAAAGTGGAAAATGGTGTCAACCGTTTTTAGGCCAACAAAATTTATTACCAGAGCTCTCGAAAAACGCCATAAAAACCATAATTTGTCAAAGATTTGTGCAACGCAGGTAATTTTTTGAAATAATAGTTCAAATTTGCCGTTTTGGGCTTTTTTTGGAAGAGTTTGGCCATAACATCGACTTTTTCGGCGCTAGTTTCCCCTCAATGCAGTATATTTTGACTTGAGAAAAAGCTTAGTGTCGGTCGTAAACAGCTGAAAAACAGAAATCCGCCCCTGTATAAAAACCAATCAAGAAATCATCAAAACGCAGCAAACAATCTAGACAAAAACAATTGCTACTCTTTTTGATCGCATTTTGTTATTGTAAATTGTTGTGGTGTTTCTGAAAATAACATAGTTCACAACCATAGCTGTTAGACCAAAATAGATATCGTCAATGAAGATTAGAGCCACCGTGACAGCTATAGTAACCAGAGCAGCTATATACCCAATGATATAAAAAGCTCGGGCAGCTTTAATTTGATGAAGATCGACAGGTATATCTTTTCAATTGAAGAAAAGGAAACTGAGATAAGACAAAAACGATGTGCTTTTTTTAGGATAAAAAACGTATCAAGATTTTATGAGCTGTGAAGGGTTAGAAGATGAAAACTTAAATAAGAAGGGCCTTTGGGTGGTCATGGGGTCGAATCCCTGAGAGGAGACGTCCGCACTCCCCCCTAAATCCGTTCTTGCGTCTTGCGTAATTTCCTTCTTCGCATATGAGTTTTAAAAACATGTTTCCAATCTTTCCAGCTCAAAATTTTAGCTCAAAATAAACAAAATTCTCAAATTTAGCCTTCTTATATTTGGTTTATGGTTCTTGAAGGATGAAAATTGGTTGTCTTATTCTCAGC